TGAGTGTGTGAGAGAGAGAGAGTGAGTGTGTGAGTGAGAGAGTGAGTGTGTGAGTGAGAGAGTGAGTGTGTGAGTGAGTGTGTGAGAGAGTGAGAGAGTGTGTGAGAGAGTGAGTGAGAGAGAGTGAGTGTGCGTGTGTCTAAGAGAGAGTGACTGAGAGAGAGTGAGTGTGTGAGTGAGAGAGAGAGTGAGTGAGAGAGAGTGTGTGTGAGAGAGTGAGTGTGTGAGAGAGAGTGTGTGTGAGAGAGTGAGTGTGTGTGTGAGAGAGAGTGTGTGTGAGAGAGTGAGTGTGTGTGTGTGAGAGTGAGTGTGTGAGAGAGAGAGAGTGAGTGTGTGAGAGAGTGTGTGAGAGAGTGAGAGAGTGAGTGTGTGAGAGAGTGTGAGAGAGTGAGTGAGAGAGAGTGAGTGTGTGAGTGTGTCTAAGAGAGAGTGTGTGAAGGTGTGAGTGCGTGCGAGCGAGTCTGTGTGTGTGTGTGTGTGGAGGAGTGGCGGTGTAGTGGTTAGTGCACTGCGCTGGGAACCCGATGACCCGGGATCGTTTCCGGCTCAGCCAATGACGGTGATAAATCCATGAACTGGTCCTGGGCCTCCTCTAGGTCGACTCAGCCTTAAATGGGTACCTGGTACGGTTTGCACGCATGATGATTACTGGGGAGATAAAGGTGGCCAGGTGTGGTGCTGGTGTTTGCTAACAGCACTTACCGCAACAGTCTGGTTAAGGCTATACGGGGGTCTTTGTGTGAGAGTCTGTGATGGTATGAGAGGAGGAGGAGGCTCGTGAAGGATGTCACTGGCCAATGGGAGGCAGTCGCCCTCCAACAAACGGAGGAGCGACGCTCGCAACAACGAGCGGAGCGCCAAAGCGGTACAGGTAGTGCCTCGGACCAGTCAGGGGTACAGCTGGTGGTGCACCTACCAGTGGTCATCTCAGTCGACCCCCACGGCACCTACTGGGTCTGTCCCCGTGACCTGTCTGTCGGCAACGAGCCTTCGACACTTCGCGTGGCCTCGGAGTGCACCTGGCCTGGCACAGGCGCCGTGGTGACGCCACCGCCGCTTGGTGGCCAATGGTGGCTTGTTGTTGTTGGTGGTGGTGGTGGTGGTGTGTTCGCGCTGGTCGGTGTGCTCGTGTTAGGATGGCGTGTGCTGTGCGGTGTGTACGCGATAGAGTAACGGGTGTGTGTGTGCGTGTGTAATCGTGTTTGAGATCGTGTGTGTGTGATTGTGCGTGTGCGTGTGTGTGCGTGTGTGATTGTGTGTGTGTGTGTGTGATCGTGTGTGTGTGATCGTGTGTGATCGTGTGTGATCGTGTGCGTGATCGTGTGAGCGACGGAGCCCTGCCATGGATTGGCACCACTCCTGATGAGGGTAGCAATCTCCAGTCTGGAGGAAATTAGAATTTAACGCAACTAATTACCTTGATACGAATTAACGAATCGAATAATGCCTATTTTTTACACACGTAGGGGGGACCTGGGTGGGTGTGGTGTAGACGGAGTGACTGCCGTTGGGTTGTCCGTGCCAACCGGTTTGAGTCGTGGGGACTCGGAGACTCGGAGACTCGGAGACTCGGACGGGGATTGGCAGAGCTCCAGGCAATGTCGACATGGCAGCGTGTACCGCCGCAACGCCTCCTGCCTCTGTTCCTGTCTCCCCGTCTCCCTGTCTCCCTGTCCCCCTGTCTCCCCATCTGTCTCCCTGTCTCTCTGTCTCCCTGTCTCTCTGTCTCCCTGTCTCTCTGTCTCCCTGTCTCTCTGTCTCCCTGTCCCCCTGTCTCCCCATCTGTCTCCCCATCTGTCTCCCCATCTCTCTGTCCCCCTGGTCCCCATTCCCGCTACGTCTCGTTGCCATGGAGTTGTTCCACTGACGGTGTGGGTCAGTTCATCTCGGGTCGGCGGGCGGGCGGGCGGAGGGGCGGGTCGGTGGGCGAGTGCGGTTATTCTGAGCGAACGAGAGGGCTGAGCGGCGGTGGCGATGGTGGTGGCGATGGTGGCGATGGTGGCGGTGGCGCTGCTTGGAGGGCCCACCCCAAGTGGCGACTCCACTTGACACGCTTAACGCGGCGGAACAACGCGCGCACACTCGCACAACCGCCGCCCCCCTTTGAATCCGTTCTTCAATACTTGAATAATCGCCTTGGTGATGCGAGTTATTACTACTTGTGTGTGCGTGTGTGCGCGTTGCGCGCAACGGTATGCACGAGGGAAGCTTAGCCACGTGGTGCGTCTCGCTCGTGAGCCTGGAGGGCGGGCGGGGGGGGGGACCCAATCTTTCCGACGGAGCATTGTAAATAAAAAGCCGTAGAGCCGAGAGTTGTCATGTCCGTGTCGTCGCGTCTCTCACATTTCTCCCCGGTTGGAGAAACGGGCCCGCCCACACGTGTGGGGGGATATCGCCGGAACTGCTCGAGGGGAGAGAGATTCACACTTTTAATAAGTATAACCCGTAAAAACAAAGTTTTTCACTATAAATCCTTTATATGCGTGGCGGCTAGAGTCCTCTCGTCCTCTGGCTTGAGATGGCTGCCACCTATGGGTCAGATGATTGTCTGCCAGTATTAAGCAATTGGTAATTAAATATTTAATTTGTTTTCCCTAAACAGTGTAATATTTTGGAAAAAAATTTCACGAACATTAACGGGAAGTGGGTTAAAAAACGACCGAAAGATTTGCACGGTCGTAAGCAAGCAAGCACGCAAGCAAGCAAGCGAACTTAATATAAAGGATTTAAAAACCCGCTTCAAGCCCCTCCACCGTGGCCGGGTCCGTCTTGACAGTTCAATTTCGCGGAGAGCGGAATGACGCTGGGTTCTGGTTCGCAGGAGACCTCATCACGCGTCGCAAGTCGCACGCGTGATGATGTCTCCTGCTGCTGCTGCTGATATCGAGTGGAAACATCTGGAAAATAAAAAAGCAACAACAATCTGTGACCGCAATGTTGGTTGCTCGCAGAGGGATTTTGGTCGTGGTGCTGAAACCGCTTTATGCCGACCTCTACTGACCCCTACTGACCCCACCCACCCCTACTGACCCCACCCACCTCTACTGACCCCACCCACCTCTACTGACCCCACCCACCTCTACTGACCCCACCCCTACTGACCCCACCCACCCCTACTGACCCCACCCACCCCTACTGACACCACCCACCTCTACTGACCCCACCCACCCCTACTGACCCCACCCACCTCTACTGACCCCACCCACCTCTACTGACCCCACCCCTACTGACCCCACCCACCCCTACTGACCCCACCCACCCCTACTGACACCACCCACCTCTACTGACCCCACCCACCCCTACTGACCCCACCCACCCCTACTGACCCCACCCCTACCACTGCTTCAGGCGCACCCCCCCCCCCCCACCACCTCTACCACAACCCCCACCACCTCTACCACAACCCCCACCACCTCTACCACAACCCCCACCACCTCCACCACAACCCCCACCACCTCCACCACAACCCCCACCACCTCCACCACAACCCCCACCACCTCCACCACAACCCCCACCACCTCTACCACAACCCCCACCACCTCCACCACAACCCCCACCACCTCCACCACAACCCCCACCACCTCTACCACAACCCCCACCACCTCTACCACAACCCCCACCACCTCCACCACAACCCCCACCACCTCTACCACCCCCCCCACCACCTCTACCACAACCCCCACCACCTCCACCACAACCCCCACCACCTCCACCACAACCCCCACCACCTCTACCACAACCCCCACCACCTCTACCACCCCCCCCACCACCTCTACCACAACCCCCACCACCTCCACCACAACCCCCACCACCTCTACCACAACCCCCACCACCTCTACCACAACCCCCACCACCTCCACCACAACCCCCACCACCTCCACCACAACCCCCACCACCTCCACCACAACCCCCACCACCTCCACCACAACCCCCACCACGACCCAAACCAGCCTCACCACGTGTCTGGGGGGCGGGACCCACACACAAAAGTAGGCGTGGCTTGAAGAAAAAAGGGCGGCGCCTAAAAAGGAAAGACGTCTGGGGCTCAGAGAGGCAGAGACGAGCAGTGGATCAATCACTCTGTAGGATCAATCACGAGCTGTGGGATCAATAACGAGCGGTGGATCAATCACTCGGTAGGATCAATCACGAGCGGTGGATCAATCACTCGGTAGGATCAATCGCGAGCGGTGGATCAATCACTCGGTAGGATCAATCACGAGCGGTGGATCAATCACTCGGTAGGATCAATCACGAGCGGTGGATCAATCACTCGGTAGGATCAATCACGAGCGGTGGATCAATCACTCGGTAGGATCAATCACGAGCGGTGGATCAATCACGAGCGGTGGATCAATCACTTGGTAGGATCAATCACGAGCGGTGGATCAATCGCGAGTGGTGGATCAATCACGAGCGGTGGATCAATCACTCGGTAGGATCAATCACGAGCGGTGGATCAATCACGAGCGGTGGATCAATCACGAGCGGTGGATCAATCGCGAGTGGTGGATCAATCACGAGCGGTGGATCAATCACTCGGTAGGATCAATCACGAGCGGTGGATCAATCACGAGCGGTGGATCAATCACGAGCGGTGGATCAATCGCGAGTGGTGGATCAATCACGAGCGGTGGATCAATCACTCGGTAGGATCAATCACGAGCGGTGGATCAATCACGAGCGGTGGATCAATCACGAGCGGTGGATCAATCACTTGCGGTGGGATCATCCAGCAGTGGATTGACCACGGTTGATGGTGATGGTGCCGGAGGTGGCTTGGGTAGGTCTTCGTACAGCAGTGGATTGATCCTGCCTAAATGATAATGGGGGTCTTTAGAAGTCTGGCTTTGGACGCAGAACGCGGCCTGCAATTTTACTTGTGGCCACAAGGCGGCGCTCTTTTCCACACATCCAGCGACAGCAAGATGCCATCTTCCGAGGGCTGGTTCCGCAGGAAAGGAAATCCGTGGGTTAGATTCCCAGACCAGTGCCGAATTTTCCTCGTAGCAAAAGTAGCTACAAATGCTACAGGCCCCGCACAGTAGGGGGGTACAGCTGGTGGTGCATCTACCAGCGGTCATCTCATTCGGCCAACCCATGGCACCTGCTGGATCTGCCCCGTGACCTCATGCACCTAGCCTGGCACAGTAGGGGGGTACAGCTGGTGGTGCATCTACCAGCGGTCATCTCAGTCGGCCAACCCATGGCACCTGCTGGGTCTGCCCCGTGACCTCATGCACCTAGCCTGGCACAGTAGGGGGGTACAGCTGGTGGTGCATCTACCAGTGGTCATCTCAGTCAGCCAACCCATGGCATCTGCTGGGTCTGTCCCGTGACCTCCTGCACCTAGCCTGGCACAGTAGGGGGGGTACAGCTGGTGGTGCATCTACCAGCCGTCATCTCATTCGGCCAACCCATGGCACCTGCTGGGTCTGTCCCTAGACCTCCTGCACCTAGCCTGGCACAGCAGGGGGGTACAGCTGGTGGTGCATCAACCAGTGGTCATCTCATTCGGCCAACCCATGGCACCTGCTGGGTCTGTCCCGAGACCTCCTGCATCTAGCCTGGCACAGTAGGGGGGTACAGCTGGTGGTGCATCTACCAGTGGTCATCTCAGTCAGCCAACCCATGGCACCTGCTGGGTCTGTCCCGCGACCTCCGCCTGTCAGCGAGCCCTCGACAACTTCAGGTGGCCTCCAAGTGCACCTAGCCTGGCACAGGCGCCGTGGGGACGTCACCGTCACTTCGTGGCGAATTGCGGGTGTTTGTATTATTGGTAGGGCTGGTGGTGATGGTGGTGGTGGGGGTGGCGGTGGTGGTGGCGGTGGTGGTGGGGGTGGTGGGGGTGGCGGTGGTGGTGGTGGGGGTGGTGGTGGTGGTGGCGGTGGTGGGGGTGGTGGTGGGGGTGGCGGTGGTGGTGGTGGCTACGCTGTTGCTGCAAGTGGCTGCCTGTGATCCAGCGCTGGTGGAGGCAGCTGAAAGTGAGGCTTGGTGGATCACCACACAAGGGCCGTCCCCTGGCTCTACAGAAGGAGGCGGTGCAGCAACAATGTCGAATTCATCTGTTCCGTCCCTAAGGGGTAGGAGTGTCTCCCCCCACAGCGCGCGTTGGTTTTTGTTTTCATTATCTGAGCGCTCGGGGTTTGCATCTCACGCGTATAAACACTCATTAATCGCCCCCCCCCCCCTAAAAAACACCTTGATATACAGAGGACTGTCGAGCTTGGGCAATAGTTGGTAGCGCCGCGAGGGAGACGCAATATCGTTTGCTTTTTGAAAGTGTTCCTCGTTTTCGCAACAACAACGCTGGTGATTATTTAGCGTTAATTGGGAAAGTGAATACAATTTGGTCAAATTGTTGCCTGAAATTTTTCAGTCTCCTCCTCCTCCTCCGGTATTGCTGACGAACCAAATCAATCGGCTTTGCCCACGTGACGCGACAACTGCACTCTTGATTGGCTCCCTCACCGACCGGCGGAGTGTCACAGTTAAACACCGTCACGTGATCCCATTCGACGACCATCTGACCCAAGGCCCGAATTTAAGAATCGCCTGACATTGGCCGTGGAAGCCTGCGCGTACAATTTATCGCAAATCCGTGACGATCGTATTTAAATCCTTTATATTAAGTTCACTTGCTTGCTTGCTTGCGTGCTTGCGTGCTTGCTTGCTTCGTTACGACCGTGCAAATCTTTCGGTCGTTTTTTAACCCACTTCCCGTGATCCAATCGAGCTGACACTTTGCACACAGACTCGTTGTGCGTGATAATTAATTTTCGTTAAAAAACAGTGTAAAATTCCAAAATTTTACACTGTTTAGGGATAAATAAATATTTAATTGCCAATTGCTTAATGGTGGCAGACAATCATCTGACCCATAGGTGGCAGCCATCTCAAGCCAGAGTACGAGAGGACTCTAGCCGCCCGTTTCATGATGACGCAAATGTTGACTAACCGCATGGCATGAAATCCCTGCCCTCCACGCTGTACAATGGAGACTATTTATAGAGCAGTTAAATTGAAGCCGCCAGGTTCTTGAAAGTGGTAAAACGGGTCAACGCTAGTGCCCTCGGGAATATACGGGGCATGTCAAGAGGTGATCTTACATATAAAGGATTTATAGTGAAAAACTTTGCTTTTACGGGTTAATTTTTTTTGTGTTTATCTGTCGGATGGTGAAACGATCGATCGATCGATCGCACGAACGGACGCGTGTGCATTCGCTTCTCCAACTTTGCTGCGTGGCGCATCGGAGGCGATTGCTGTGCTCGGCGTTTTTCTTTTTTTTGACCGACGTTGCAAGCGGCGCTAATTGTCGGTTAATTAGTCTATCGAGCGTCCGAGGCGGGTGGCTGCGTCGTCGCGAAGATTAAAATCATTATACCCCCGCTGTTCTGCTGACGTCCTCAATTTATCACCTCCAGCGAGCGAGCAAGAGACAAACTTCTCCGCTTTAGCTCAATATTTGGCGATTTGTCAAGAAGGTTTTTTCCCCCCCCCCCAAAAAAAAATCTGTTTACTTTGCAGCAGTTCAATCTCACATCATTATTAGCGTCGTCATCGTCGTCAGCTACGAACGATCCACTGCTGGATGGAAATCTCTCCAAGCCGTCGCCATAGGATGATGATGATGATGACGATGGTGGTGACGGTGGTGGTGGCCACGCTGCACGTGACTGCCTTTCCGATCCAGCCCTTTGAAGGAAACTTAATTATTTACATTCATTCGTAAGGCGCCTTCCACTCACGTGTCAGTGCGTCTTATATCAGTGAGAGGGTTGATGGATCACCGCACGGATGTCGTGAAACTCCGTTCTACCCGTGGGCGTGGAGGTGGAGCTATGCCCCGGCTCGCCAAGCGAGTGGATGAATCGGCATCTGTTTCCATCTGTACGGCGTGGCGGGCGAGCGGGGATGGGGGTCAGGACCACGAATGAAACCAATACTCTCAAGACTGAAGCGTGGCTTTACCCGGTAAATAAATTACTTTATTATCACCGTCGTCATCGTCGCAAACACATTCCTGCGGAGGGAGCTGGTAGGAATTTTGGGTTGCTCGGTCAATGGCCAGGGTCAACGGCGGCGTGGTGTATTCCGCAAAATATGGCCGACTGTGAGGGCGGGCACAAGCCAGGCGTGAGTAGGTTAAACGTTGAGTTTTATAAGGGCACCACGGGCTGACCAGCCCCTCCCCACCCAGTCCCACCCCCACCCCACCCAGCCCCTCCCCTCCCATTTTTGGATGCACGATGGACGTACGGACAGAATAATCCCCTGTGAGCTGGTGTAACCAGGAGGTTCCTGCCAGTATAATTTATGTACATCTTGTAATAGGTTTTTACCCTTTCAACTGGTACAAAAACTGACACCTTTATACAAGGGATCATGTTTGCAATAACCACAACACAAGCAGTCAAAATGCAAACAAAAAGTAACAACTCTTATGATGATAATGATATGCACTGTCCTTGAAGTTGATTGGTCCACACCCTAGACAGCTTTGCTTAGAGCCTAGTCTCCATGGGTGTTGGACCAGATGATGCCAACAGGCGTACAACTCAAAAACAGCGCACTATCAGAGTATTGAGAGCTCGGGGTAAGCATTTACACTATGAGACCTCCTTTACCAGTGGCAAAATATAGTAATAGGTTTTTGCCCTTTCAACTGGTACAAAAACTGACACCTTTATACAAGGGATCATGTTTGCAATAACCACAACACAAGCAGTCAAAATGCAAACAAAAAGAAACAAATCTTATAATGATAATGATATGCACTGTCCTTGAAGTTGATTGGTCCACACCCGAGACAGCTTTGCTTAGAGCCTAGTCTCCATTGGTGTTGGACCAGATGACGCCAAAAGGCGGGTGCGATTCGGCATCAGAGGTCCTTCTCGCCATTGCCACGATTCACCCGTGCGTCATATTCGTCCTCATCCCCGATACCTCCTCGACACGGGGCCGGAATTCACTCCTAGGACAGGGCGGGCGTGGGTCTTGCTAAGGTGACGTCGAAAGCTTCGCGCCTTAGAACCGCGGTCTGGGATGAAACGACACGTCTTCATTGTAGACTCCAACGACGGGAACGGCTGGAGGAGTTAACATCTTGGTGGCTAAGAGATGTTAACTACCTCGCCTGGTATGCAGGAGGTCGTGGGGGTCAATCACGACCCTGACGCCTGCTGCTGTATATTTGAAGTTTGCGTGTCTCTCTCATCATCATCACGGTGGCTAGGAGATGTTAACTACCTCGCCTGGTATGCAGGAGGTCGTGTGTTCGATCCCGACCCTGACACCTGTATATTTGAAGTTTGCGTGTCTCTCTCTCATCAACATCACGATGGGCTAGGATATGTTAACTACCTCGCCTGGTATGCAGGAGGTCGTGTGTTCGAGGCCGACCTTGATGCCCCGTGCAAATATCAAATATTCGCCACTGTTATTGGGCCGCGAGTTGGAATGCAACTTGGGTTGTGGGGTTCATGGAGCAGTGCGCTGACCACTACACCACTGCTGCAAACGCACACACACAGACAAAGATCCCCCATATAGCATTTACAGACTGTTTGGGGCAAGTGCGATTAGCGAGCGCACACACAAAGATCCCCCGTATAGCCTTCACAGACATTTTGGGGCAAGTGCGGTTAGCGAACACACACACACGGACAAAGATCCCCCGTATAGCCTTCACAGACTTTTTGGGGCAAGTGCGGTTTAACGAGCGCGCACACGGACAAAGATCCCCCGTATAGCCTTCACAGACATTTTGGGGCAAGTGCGGTTAGCGAACACACACACACGGACAAAGATCCCCCGTATAGCCTTCACAGACTGTTTGGGGCAAGTGCGGTTAGCGAGCGCACACAAAGACAAAGGTCCTCCGTATAGCCTTCACATACTTTTGGGGCAAGTGCTGTTAGCGAACACACACACGCGCGCTCGTTCTCCATGTGCTTTGCATCATTGCTGCATCATCGCTGTCGATCGAGATCGCTTTTGCGTTGTCCGTGGCTCCCACCGTCAAACGTGTTTGGATGTCTCGTGGCAGAATGCCAGAAACGAAGCCCTCCTGGTCCTTTCTGAGCTCCTCCCTCCCCGCCCACAGCTGGGGCGTTGCAACGTTTTAGGTGAGACGTGACGATGCGAGGAAGGTGCCTCGACTCGCCGGGCTGACTGGGGCTGGGGGCGGTGGTGTCACTGAAGCAAGAAGCACCGTGAATTCAGCCCAGACTCAATCCACTGCTGGATGAAAGCCTACCCAGCTACCTCCAGCAGCATTGCCATCAGCCCAGACTCAATCCACTGCTGGATGGAGGCCTACCCAAGCTACCTCCAGTAGCATTGTCGTCAGCCCAGACTCAATCCACTGCTGGATCAAGGCCTACCCAAGCTACCTCCGAGCAGCATTGCAATCAGCCCAGACTCAATCCACTGCTGGATCAAGGCCTACCCAAGCTACCTCCAGCAGCATTGCCATCAGCCCAGACTCAATCCACTGCTGGATCAAGGCCTACCCAAACCATCACCAGCAGCATTGCCACCAGCCCAGACTCAATCCACTGCTGGATCAAGGCCTACCAAAGCCACATCCAGCATTTTGATTTACAATCGGGGTTTTTTTTACCCCTCTGAAATTTTACTCGGAACGGTTACCGTTTTCCTGACTTTTTGGAAGTGGCAATTGGTTACCGTTTTTTTTTTCAACAAGTTACAATCGAATATATATTAACATGCGTATTGATGCTGCGTTGGAGGCGGTGCACAAATGAAAAAGAAATCCAGGACACGGTCGTCAATAACGCGGAAGTGGCTCAGACTCAGGGGATGTGTTCCAGACCCCCGACAAAACGAACACCACATCTCACAGCGCGTGGCCATCCTACGCCTCTCGCCCTCACGCCTCGACCGTTCAGCCTCCCCCGCCCGTGTCCTTCGACACGATGATTCCCTGCCGCTCAGCGCAGAGCTCCTTTTCTCTCGGGACCTGGTGCGCCTGGATGAACGGCTCATGAACGCCCACGCCCTTGGTGGCGTCCGTGGGGCCGTAGTCGGACTCGGTCACCATGCTCTCCTGATCCTCGGGGGGGCACGGAGACCTTTGCAGGCGCAGGTAGCACCAGCAGCCGCAGACGAGGGCGCCCAGCGCAGCCACGGCGACGAGGATCACAAGCACCGTGACCACGCCGGTGGTCGCGGTGAGGTCCAGCGTCGACATGGCCACAGCGTTCGTGTGTCTGTGTGTGTGTGTCTGTGTGTCTGTGTGTGTGGGGGTCTGTGTGTGTGTGTCTGTGAGTCTGTGAGTGTGTCTGTGTGTGTGTCTGTGTGTGTGTGTCTGTGTGTGTGTCTGTGTGTCGTGCGTGTCTGTGTGTGTGTGAGTCTGTGTGTGTGTGTCTGTGTCGTGTGTGTGTGTCTGTGAATCTGTGTCCGTGTGTGAGTCTGTGAGTCTGTGTCTGTGAGTCTGTGTCCGTGTGTGTATGTGTGTGTCTGTGTGTGTATGTCTGTGTATGTCTGTGAGTCTGTGTGTGTCTGTGAGTCTGTTTGTGTGTGTCTCTATGTCGTGTGTGTGTGTCTGTGTGTGTCTGTGAGTCTGTGTCCGTGTTTGTCTGTGTGTGTCCGTGTGTGTGTGTCTGTGTGTCTGTCTGTGTCTGTGTGTGTGGGGGTCTGTGTGTGTCTGTGTGTGTGTCTGTGTGTCTGTGTGTGTCTGCCGGATCGAGGGGGCTAAACGGGCGCGGCACGGGCTAGAGAAGAGATGGAGTGATGTGGTACAGGAGGACGTGGAGCTGAGTGGAGCGACGCTCACAACAACGAGCGGAGCGCCGGGTGGCTAAAGCACAGCAAGTTGGTACAGTAGGGGGCACAGGTGGTGCATCAGCCAGTCATCTCGGTCATCTCGGTCAGTCGACCCGTGGCACCTGGGTCTGCCCCGTGACCTCCTGCCAGCGGGCGTTCGACACTTCACGTGGCCTCAAGGTGCACATGGCCTGGCACAAGCGTCGTGGTGACGTCACCGCCGCTTAGTGGCGAATGGCGGTTGTTGTTGGTTGTTGTTGTGTGTCTGTGAGTCTGTGTGTGTGTCTGTGTGTTTTGTCTGTGTGTGTCTGTCTTTGTCTTTGTGCGCGAAGATCGAGAGATTTGAGAGCGAGCGAGACGGAGTGTGGCTGCAGATGTGGGCTGCTGCTGCTGCTGTGGCTGGTGCTGCTGATGGTGCTGCTGATGATGATGTTGCTGCTGCTGATGATTTTGCTGATGATGATGCTGCTGATGGTGCTGCTGATGATGGTGCTGCTGATGATGCTGCTGCTGCTGTGGCTGGCGCTGCTGATGGTGCTGCTGATGATGATGTTGCTGCTGCTGATTCTGCTGATGATGATGGTGCTGCTGATGATGATGCTGCTGATGCTGCTGCTGTGGCTGGTACTTCTTCAGCGTCTCGTTGCTTGTGATCGTGGCGTCCTCAACTCCTCCGTCCAAACCAGTGATTAAGAGCTGCCTCCTCTTCACGCAGAAGTGGCGGGCGACTGCTATTGCTGCAGTGCTGCTGCTGCTGCCACTGCTGCTGCTGCTACTGCTGATGATGCTGCCACTGCTGATGATGCTGCTGCTGCCACTGCTGATGATGCTGCTGCTGCTGCCACTGCTGATGCTGCCAGCCGCGTGGAAGTTGAATCCTCGCGATGGTTCGGCGCAGTCGAGAGCTCGAATCGCAAACTCTTGTGAGTGTTTTGCAACTTGGTGAACGAGAGAGTTAGTGAGAGAGCGAGTCCACTTAAAGGGCCCAATCAATGAAATCGACGCGTGTACAAAAGGGCGCTGTGTGACTTCACTCTGCGACCAAGTCTTGCGGGGAGAGGGGGGGGGGGTGTGGGAACTCTGAAGAAGCGAATCGCCAAAATCTCTGCAACGTAAGCGACAGAGTTAATTTCGATTAAAATCAATGAAAATGGGGTATGCCGATAGCATAAAAATGAGATGTGATAGAGCAAATCTGAGATCAGATTTGGAATCGGCACCCTGAAATTAGTCTAGAACAGCTGCAAAAGTCCAGGCCAGAAAAAAATGTGTTTTTGTTGTTATTGACCAGTGTAATTAGCCAACTCAAGCGGAGCACCACGTGGTGCTTGATGATGAGCCAATGACGACGCAGCCACGTGGCAAAAGCGACTCCCCCCGCGTTCGTCACGTGGGTAGCGGGCACCGCCGGCTTCGAGCGAGACTCGGAGGGCACCCCCCGGTGGACACTCACGATTCTCTGTCGTGTGGGGGGGCAGGGTCAAGGAGCAAGGGTGGAGACGTGGTGGTGATGGGGTGGAGGGGGTCCGTTGCAGGGTGAAGTTTCCGTGGTTGTGAGATGATGATGATGATCGCCTCGTCGCTCCGCGGAATCTATCCGGGGAGTCACCGATGATCCGTGACTCGCCAGCTTCCGTGGTTGATCACCACCGGTGGCGATGTTTGTTATTGTTGTTGTTGTTGCCGTACACGTTCTGACCCCGTGCCCCTACTGGGAACATCTGTGACAAGAGAGCTTTGGTAGGTCACTCGGATTCCTCCTACGCGCGGCATAAATCAACATTCGGATTCTGAATTGCGACGAATCGTTGTCGCGCTGCGTCGCGAACGTTCGCGACGCAGCGCGCCGCGTGCCACGTCGTGCGGGTGCCACATTTAGAAGTGAACGGAAAAAAAAATGAACGACGTGGAATCGACGGACGCCGGTCTTCGTTACGGAATCATCGGAACGAGTTCCCCATCATGGGCCGTCGAGCGCTCGCTCCTTTAGTGCATCTGCCCGTCGCAGATGCGTCGCTGTTGAGTCGAGACGGTCGAACGGGCCCGAGTGACGAGGCTCGATGGATGATCTTCCTCCACCACGGCGGCCACGTGGTTGGTCACTGCAACCGCGGTGCAGAAAAAGGCGCGTTACAAACGTGCGATAGGGGCCAGCGGTCACCGTCATCATAATGAAATCAACCGCTGGATGAAAGCCTACTCAAGCCACCTCCAGGAGCATTGCAATCAGCCCAGACTCAATCCACTGCTGGATCAAGGCCTACCAAAGCTACCTCCAGCAGCATGACCACCAGCCCAGACTCAATCTACTGCTGGATCAAGGCCTACCCAAGCCACCTCCAGCATTATGATTTACAATCGGGGTTTTTTTCCCCTCTGAAATTTTACTTGGAACGGTTACCGTTTTCCTGACTTTCGGAAGTGGAAATCGGTTAACGTTTTTTTTAAACAAGTTATAATTGAATACATAAACATGTGCATTGATGCTGCGTTGGAAGTAGTGCACAAATTTAAAAGAAATCCAGGACACGGTCGTCAATAACGCGGAAGTGGCTCAGACTCAGGGATGTGTTCCAGACCCCGACAAACTGCGCCGAGCCGGATCGCGCCCGCGAGGTTCACACGCGGGGTGGATAACAAGGGGTGGACAACAGGGGATGGAAAACGGGGTGGACAACAGCGGGTGGACAACAGCGGGTGGACAGCAGCGGGTGGACAACAGGGGGGAGACAGCAGCGGTATCAATTGTGTGCACCTCAGCGAGCCAATGGGCAGGTTAGTCGAATGTGTGGTGGTGGTTACGTGTGGATAATCCCACCTCTTCCAAGGCCAAAATGCCCTCCCAGGAGGCGGGGGGGGGGGGGCTCTGGCTGCTGCCCTTCTGCCAGCAGTGGTGCGAGCAAGAACTTTCAGGGTGGCGCCTTTACCGCCGTAATAATCATCACCTCCTGTCAACATCATAATCGCGATCCTTGATCGGACGCATTGCGCACAAGATGAATTCACGTAAAGACAAAGGTCCCCCCGTGTAGGGAGTGGTGCGGCATATGCACCACGCCGGGCCGCCTTTATCTCCCCAAAATGCCGATGTTTACTGGGAAAGTTCATAGCCGCAGCGCGCTAACCACTGCGCCACCGCTCCCCACTCACACACACCAACAACAACCGCCATTCGCCACTAAGTGGCGGTGACGTCACCACGACGCTTGTGCCAGGCCACGTGCACGTTGAGGCCACGTGAAGTGTCGAACGCCCGCTGGCAGGAGGTCACGGGGCAGACCCAGCAGGTGCCACGGATCGACTGACTGAGACGACTGGCTGATGCACCACCTGTGCCCCCTACTGTGCCAACTCACACACACTCAGACTCACACAAAGACAAAGATCCCTCCTTCCCCCGTATAGCCTGAGCCGACGGTTGGGGCAAGTGCTGTTAGCGAGTAGCACCTATGAAGGCCGGAATGGTACACGAAGGGGGGTGGGTGGCCAGTACCACGCCCGACCGCCTTTGTCTCCCCAGTGGCGACGTTTACACACCGCACCAGGTACTTATTTGAAGCTGAGTCGACCTAGGGGAGGCCCAGGACCGGTTCGGGTAATCGTTACCGGTATTGGGAATCGATCTCGGGTCGCCGGGTTCGTAGCGCAGCGTAGCGCTAACCACTACACCACCGCTCCCCACAACTCACCATCCCATTCATATGCGTTAGCGTGCACACACAAACAAAGATCCCCCGTATAGCCTTAACAGACTGTAGGGGCAAGTGCTGTTAGCGAGCACCTATAAAGGCCGGCACGGCACACGAGGGGGTGGGTGGCCAGCACCACGCCCGGCCGTCTTTGTCTCCCTAGCGGCGATGTTTACACACGCGCACACACACACATAGACACCGCTGTCAACGCAATGCGATTACCGGCTTTTGCACAATTATCAAAGCGTCAATGAGTTCTCATGACACGTAACGATGAACACATTCACGAGAAAAAAATTTCATTGAAACCCCGAAATATACAAAAAAAACTTACAAGCCAGCGGCGGTAGCGATGTTTGCAGTCTTCGTCTTGCAGCGGTTCAAAAATAAACATAAACATGCGAATAATATTTAAATATATGAAACGTTTAAAATCCCGAGTCGGTCAAAGGCGCCGTTGGTGCGCGCGCATGAGCGCCGCATTTAAATGTGGCGAGTGGGAGCGAGAGGGAGCGAGCGAGCTAGGGAGGGTGGGGGGGGTAGGGTTGGAGGGAGGGTGGGTTAGGGTGGGAGGTAGGATGGGAGGGAGGTAGGGTGGGAATTAGGGTGGGAGGTAGGGTGGGAGTTAGGGGGGGGAGGGAGGGTGCGAGGTAGGGTGGGGGTAGGGTGGGAGGGAGGGTGGGGGTAGGGTGGGAGGGAGGGTGGGAGGTAGGGGGGGGGAGGGTGGGGTAGGGT